ATCCACCAATGAATTAATGTGCCAACTCATCGGTGCTTAGGATAAGATGAGCACCGGTGCTCATTAGATCATTTCTGTATATACATATATGAGTTGAATTGTTTTCAAAATCGCTACTAAAAAAGGCCCAAAATTGAACCCCTCATAAATGCCCAAAACCAATACTTTAAGAAAACCCCATAATCGCAGGCCCTTAATACAGGAAATGATAGAATATGCGCGTTTATGTTGTTAAAGATATAATTTAAATAAATAGTCATCTCACTAATATTTAAAGCTTTTAAAGGAGGTTGTTCAACATGGCATCGGAGCATTGAGAGGTCTTGAGCTCAAGTCTCATGTTGAAGAAATAATTTAGATAAATAAGTTTGTCATCTCCCTAATAGTTTGAACTTTTAGACAGTGTGATTCAACATAAATTTCATATCAATCTCTTGAGTTTCGACATGTATAAAATTGAGTTCTTACACAAGAAGTTTGAGCAAACTCCTTTAACAATTTCTCCTTTGTCATTGGTGTAAACAAGCCTTTTAACACACAAAGAGACCTACATGAAAATTTGTTGAAACAACTAAATGAATTTTTAACGGGTCAAAAAATCAACTGATAGTTGTAATACCTAAGTATACAAATTAACAGAAAACATACGGTCTTGGAGTCTCCAAAGTCTCCGATGGCACTGCTTGCAATCGAGTACAACCTCAGCTTGTGAGGCTTCCCATTCTTGTCAATACCGTCTGCAATCACCCCAATGGATTGGCCTTCTCTGTAAGGGACCTCTCCTGCTCTAGAACAGCACAGTATTAGTTCAAATTCAGAGAAATAGAATCCATCAATACATACAAATCCTGGAACAGACATTTCATGGAACTAAATACGATCAAGAAGATTATAATAATGCGGGTATTACAAAATGAAAATTTGATGCATATAATAATACCCTCAGTGCTGAAAACCATGTGCCAGGTTTCCCCTGGGGCATCATCGCCAGTGATCTTTGTGTTGAGAAGGCACCTGCCAATGTATGGTTCCTTGGGCCTGTACTTGTTGACCACTACACCTTCTTCCTGTTTCTTGGAAATCTTCTCAACCTTTGCAGGAGCCTCTGTGGTGACCTGGGCTCTGATCACCTTCCCACCACCAGACACATTTCTGTAGTACAATGGAACCTGCAAATATAAGCCAAATCCCTTGTGAATTCTGAACAAGTCCGTATAAAGATAATATGGTAATGGTAATGGCAACCATACCTTGTTGAAGTTGATTCTTTCTGGGGAAAAAATGGCGGTTCTGGTTGGAAGTGAAGTAGACTTGGACGATGGAAGAGAGACTGAAGCACTTACTGCAGCAGCCATGGTTGAATCTTTCGTAAACACTGAAGAAAAAAGTTATCAAATTATATTAAGTGAGAGAGCGAGGAGTTGGAGAAGAAGAATTGAAGGTGGAATCTTTTTTAGTGGTGAGTCATGAGTAGATTATGAACTGAGTGGACGAGATTACAAGGCCAATGCAGTGGCACCAGTGAGGATAAGAAAATTAGTAATTACATATGACTCAATTTTCAGCCTCAAGGATCTCTGTCTCTCTCTACATATTCTTGTAGATATTGTTCACCAAAAATCAGTATTATATTTTGGATTCACCACATACAAAAGATCTAAGTAAACAATGGACCATAACACTTTGGTTCGAGGCGAAATGGAAAACAAAGTATCGTCCTAGTAGAAATATTAATATCTAGCCTCATTAAATTACTGGAAAAGGAATAATGTAGGATAAGGTCAAGATCTACTCACTCGAAATCGACCATGAATCTCTTGCCGAGGACCCCTTCTAGCCTCCTAAATAGACATATTCCTAAGGCGGTCATCACAACTCACATGCCAATGTTATCACTTCAATCTGAGACCCAATCCTAGTGTTGTAGTGAGACCTTTCCCTAGGGATCATTCCCCATCCTTATCCTTGCATGGTTCGCACTCAACGATTCTAGATGAACGCTATTCAAAACCTACCCATCCATGAGCTCTTACACCCGTGTTCCACATGGTCCTCCTACCAGGCATTTGCACCCTTGTCTCTACAAACCTAGGGAGAGGTCGAGCCTACATGACATCCTAGTCCTAGTTGGACTCTACCCCGAAGTCTTACTACTTCTGGTCCATAAGTACTCGTAGTCCTATAGATCTCACACGACTCCATAGTTGTCCTAATCAGCATATAGTCACATACTTATATTCTCTCCATGTTTACTAATTTAAGTATTAGGGGCCTGATAAGCACGTTTTTACATACTTATTTGACTGTCAAAATATGAACAATTGTTGATTAATATGTTGGAATATAGCTTAATTCTATGTGATTCATGTTTTGCAGGATGAGTGATGAATATAACGGAAATAAGAAGAAACAAGTGAAAATGACCAAAATGGAAGAAAGTGAAAGTTCAGGGACTAAAGTGCAAATACTCAAAAATTGTGTCGGGGCTTACGATGAAGGTTCGAGAATGTTGAGGGTCGATTGGAAGCAATTAGAAGTCAAAAAGGAATGGAATATGATCAAAATATTATCAAAATCNAAAGGAATGGAATATTATCAAAATCAATTTCAAATTCGCACAAAATATATTCCATATTTTTAGCCAAAGATTGAGATCCATTTTTGGCGTGTAAAAGTCTAAATTGGAAAAGATCTACTTCTATCAAAGTTATATCTCTTTGAGTTATCTTTCTAATGCATTTTGAATCTTCTAAATCGGATATCGGACGAGAAAGTTATAACTAAATTACTGACTGCTATGTAGGGACAAAAAAATTTGAGCGCGAATGCAACTTTCCTTATTTCATTAGAACTCTTTTGGAAACCAATTTGGACGTGATTTTCATCCAATTTTCGACTCCTACAAATATTTAACAGCAGAATACATATAGAGGAGGCCCCTATTCACCATTATTCTCCTCTTTGATTCAAGAAACTCATGGAGAACTAAAACCCTTGGTAAAGGTACGAAGGAACTCGGTTGGAATTGGTGATTTCATGTCTTTTATTCATTTAATTTGATCTTTTCATTGTCAAACAATGCTAAAATTTAGATTTTCATTCTCTTAAATTTATATTGAAATCGATTTAATATTTACAAGATTTTTCATAGATTCAGTCATACTGTTTCCATTGTTCAATCAAACTATTTATTGAATTTCAATTTCAATTATTTGTTGTTGAGATTGGTTTAACAATTATTATATCCTTCATAGATCCAATCATGCTTCTTTTATCGT